CTTAAGCCTTCGTATGACCGCCGGTGGAGTTTCTCAGGCTCCGGCAGCAACTTCGTGAGCGGGGGCAAAATCTTTGGCATGCCAAAAAATTGCCGAATTGGCCAATTTTGCTCTTCGTAAGGCGCATCTGAGGGCATCTATCATCGGTGACCGATGATAACACGAAGATGACACGATTTGACAAGATGCCCTCACGAGTGCCTTACGAAGTTACCGCTCACGTAGTTTCTGCCGGAGCCTGAGAAACTCCACCGGCGGTCATACGATGGCTTAAGATGCCCTCATGAATGGCCCGATGTTGTTACGATCAGAGCCGAATTTGAACATTTCCTTTATCGTGTGTCCATCGGGTGTCAATTTCGGGACAGTGTGACGCGGGATTTAGGGAATAATTTGCTTAGGTATTCAACCTTTGACACAGTTCATCATTTCCTCCTCTCACTGTCTCCTTTCCCATGGCATAGGTCTACGGCCTTGGGTATTGCTGCTATCTCTTTTAAGGAGGAGCAGCTTGGGCGCATTGTTGTTGCCAGTCTATGACAGAGCACAAGCCGCCATGAGGTAGTTTACTGTTCAAGGACGAAGGTTCCCTGGCGCGCACTCTTTTCTATGGACGAGAGCTCTAGTTAGGTTCAGGGTCCATAATGTTTAGTCTCACTGATGAAGAATGTTGATTATTACACTCCGAATTAGTTAAAACCTCGAGCTACAGAAGGAGTCCTTCAGAATTGGTTTGGCAACAGCTGTGTCAACTTGTGTCTTGTCAACTCTCCGGTCGTTACTCCAAATAAACCACCAGTGTTTGACATCAAAACTCCAACTCTCCTCGTGTCTCTCTGAGTCCTGACTCTCCATTGCTACAGAAGTTTCCCTTACAAGACCAAACATCCTTCTTTTGTCAGAGGAATCACAGGCGGAAAATCCATTTCTTACATAATGATCAATGTTTGAGTCATATTCAACAATTTGCTGAATCATTCCTTCTTGTAAAATATGCATGTCATGATTATGTGGGCATCTGTTATAATAGCATCACTTACAATACTTGGCTCCATCCACAGCAGCCACAGCCTTCTCAAGACAGTCTCTTGTAGGGTTCCCACTCCGGCTGTATTCATAGCCCTACATAAAAACATGATTAGAAGATATTTTAGTAACCTAAATCAACATTTGTAATAGTGCACTGTGTTTCCAACAACAACAAAAAGCAGTGTTTTGGAAGAAAATCAGTCAAAATACAAGTAAGGGTAATTCAAGACCCCTCTGCTTAGTTGTGCTTTAATACATTTGAGCCCAGCAGGAAAAGAACACTGGAATCAACCTATCATAGAATCTTCGTTGACTTTAAACCGAGTCTAAATGCTAGGCTCACAGGGTTTAACGTAACCTCCAAACTTGTTTGCGCTTGCCACCTTCACCTGCAGCCAGCGCTTACAAAAAACACATCAAAAATAATGATTATAACATTGAAAGTGCTGTTTTCTACTGATGCTACCTTTTAAATAAAAGGGCTTACAATTGTTGGATCCTTTAATAATAAGATGGGAGTGTATACACGGGTGAAACTGTGAGAACCACCAGGGTAACTGAGAGAAGAACAACTCACTTTCAACAGAGCTGCAAAAATGATTTGAGTTAGTACTTGACAACTACTAAATTGAACGTGAACTATTTTGATCATTTGGAATTCAGTAATTGTTTGAGTCAATCCAGCTTAAAAAATATAAGTATTTCCCGTTTTTGTTTTGTTTCCCTCTATGGGAGTTAACTGAAATATCTTTGACTTGTGAACAAAACAGGACATTTGAGGTCGCAGCTTAGGCTTTGGGGAACATTGATATGTTTTCACAATATTTTGTCTGACATTTTATAGACGCAACATTGAATCAAGAAAAGAATGAACAGATTAAATTGGGAATTAAAATATTTGTTATTTTCCGCCCTACTTTCCCAAGCATATGTTAGACAGCTGGCTATGATAAAGTCTGGATGTTGTTGAGTCATACATGGGGCTGTGGTAAAGCAAACAGTGGATAAGCTTTATGCAACTGTTGCTGTCAGAGTAGTCAACCCATTTCTGAAAGAGCAGCAGCTGCCGTTTTGAAAGGTAAAATATATTTTCCAAACGTGGTGAAATGGACGCATTGTGAGCTCTGTGAGGATATTGTGGGAGTACATACCAGGGTCCACAAAACAAGGTTGAGAGGTCAGAAGATCACCGTATGCGGTGTATAGGCGTATTTATTTTAGTTTGACAATTTCATTTAGGAGGCCGATGTAGCTGTTAATTCTATATGCTTCGAGATTAGCCTTACAACTGGGAAACATTAAACACTCATTCCTTCCTTAATACTTAGTGTGAAAAAATAAACATGAGTAAGCCTAAATTACCTCTGCTCTCAACACCTTTTTATGAGCTTTTTGTGTGAGAGTTTAATAACAATGGCACATCCAGAATGGCAATATGTAAAACAATTCATGACTACTACCTACTTTTTAATCTTTTTTTTTTTTTAAACCTTGCTTGCAAAAAGCTTACTACCTGAACTACAGGGAACATTTGGAAGTGAGTGAGTAACTTGAGTTTAACCCACAAACCAGTTTTAGTCTGGATTCCCAGACATGGCCTAAAGGGAAAATACATCCAGTCAAGATGAATAGTAGTTTGGAATTATTGAAATACTTTATCTATCTATCCATCCATCATAGACAAAAGAGTGATTCAGTCAATACTGATTATATCTTTAAATATATTCTGATAACTATAGCCTATGTATATGTTATCAGATATATGTATATTATATTTAGCTTCAGAGACATAATGTTAAATGACTTTAATTTGATTTGAAAAAACAACAAACTAACATGTTCCGTTATAGCCCACGTGAATGAGGCTGAATAAGGTCTGCTTCCTACATGTGCATACCACCGGAACATAGCGTCACCCCTTGAGGAACAAGACATATCGGGCTACTTACGGCGTGGTTTCCTGGTCCGAACTGTTTGAATGTGGTAGAAAGGGAAATCGGCGGCACTACAGCCATTGACTTCCATTGCTCCGGTTCCTGGCCGACGTGAATAGCATCAGTGGCGAAGGATTTGTACGGCTCTCTAAAGCCGGCGAACAAATCGCTCTGCTCTTCTGGTTTGTGGTTTTGATCCATGGCAACGCGCTCCTCTCAATGTGTAAGCTACCAAAGTGCAATGAGGCTGGTTATGCATTGCCACTGTTCCTTACAGTCCTTACGTATATCGGGGAAACGTGGACGTGCACGGCTCGTCTCTGTGAGCCAATCAACGCCCATCAACAAGCGCAGGAAGGCTCTGATTGGTGGTTCGGCGGGGGCGTCCAACACACATGACGCAGAACGTTGTTTGCGTGCTTGTGTGTGCGCTGTAGTGATGCAACGTTTCCTGTTGCTTGAGTAAGAGGGGCTACCGGTGTCTTTTGTATTTTACTTTGTTTCAGATTTACTTAATTTATTCAATGAGTTTAATAACCTCAATATGGTTTTATTTGTATTTATTTGAGGTCTGTTGGTGATGTTTTCAACAATTGACAGACCACTATGAAAAGAGTGTCCACATTTAAATCTAGATTAAGAACCTGTTTTTTTTACAAAACTAAAAGGAATCAACAACTTGTTAATTTCTCTCTAACCAACACTATAACATTTGTTGGTTAACATATACATTTAGTTCTGTGCATGTGTGTCCTCATGGCACACATAACGGACCTTTAGCTGTGTTTCCATTCTTGAGCCATAGGGGGAGGAAGTGCTCTGTCCTGACGGTCCTGACTCAGTGGAGCACTGGAGGTCTGTACTGTTTCAGCCTACTGAAACCTGTCCTCGCGGATGAGCCAGACCCGTGTCAATGAGTCCAAACTGCAGTGTGTACTTTAAAAGTACAATCAAGATAGAAACCAAGTAAGTTCACTTACTTAAATCATGTACAAGTGAGATAAGAACACTCATTGAATTGGGTTTAAAATATTGAAATGTAGTAAATCTTAATGCCTTGATTTATTTTATTTAACTTGTTATGTGTTTTGTTTTTATGTCTACATCATTGTCTTGGCAAGAATGCTTTTGAAAAAAATATTTTAATCTCAACTAGACTCTTTCTCTGCTTCCCGACAGGATCTGAAAGTGGAATATCCTGAGTACTTTTTACTAATATTTTCTAAACCTAAATCAAGACTTTGGACTTCTTTAGGCTATTACACTAGGTTGACTTTCGGATGTTATTGGTGATGAAACGACTAACTTACATTGATATGGGCAAGTGGAAAGACTTTAAATTAAATCATGAACATTTCAAATCGTTGCTTTAAGATATTGTTATCAATAGAGCAAAAATATGTTATTGTATTTGTATTCTAACAAAGTGTCTGTGTGTGATATGCATTACAATACAAAATGTTTTCACTGACGATATTGCAATTTCAAAGTGACTCAAACATGAATCTTTTTTGTATCTTTATTATAATTTTGATTGAAAAATATATTAAAATTATAATGATTATCATTTGTTACACTAGGATAGCCATTTTGCTATATTATACAAATACAATATGTCAACTAAATAATAACCTGTCTTTATCTAAATTTCTGATATGGTAATGTAGGAAAGTTAGCATATAGATTAGAGTAAAACCTACGTCACTTCCGGGCAAAAATTATATAATATATATAATTATAATATATAATTACATAATATATAATTAGATAATAATTGATAATTAGATAATAATTATAGCCTAATATAATATAATAATCTCCACCTTCCTGTGCCTGATGAATTCCAACACAGATAAATATTGTCAGTAGTTTATAGAATAAAATAAAAAATAAAAAGCATTCTACTTACATATTAATAGTAAAACCAGAGAAACTGATAATTTTGCAGTCCTCTCTTGTTTTTTTCCAGAGCTGTATTATTATTAGGTATAATAAGCTAGTGACCGTTGGTAACCTTTCCTGAACTCTCGCGATACTACGAGGCGGAAGACATTAGCCGAATCTTCGGTACTAGTCAACTGGAGGCGCTTATGTTGTGCAGCTACCAGCGTCAGTTTTGAACGATAGGAGGGGAGCGAAGTGTTTGTTTTTATAGTAAACCGGTCAACTTTAGCCTCTACTTGTCCGAGTAAACTATCGTTTTAGCCCGTCCGGTAGAGATTAAGTGTGTTTCATGTTGTGCAGTTTACTGTGCCTGAGTAAAGACCTCCAACTGGCGGATCGCATCAGTTCGCCCGGAGGGTCACCGTGAGCTCCGTGCCCTGTGTAGAAAATGACCGGAGAGAAGATCCGTTCCTTGCGCAAGGACCACAGGCCGAGCAAGGACGAGGATTTACTGGAACCGGACGAAGAGGCTGCAACCGGGACGTTCACCGCCTCCAAGACAAACAACAAGAGCAGAGCGAGTAAAATCTTCAGCAATCACAAGTTAGTCAAGTCTTCATCAACACAGCAGCAGCACCTACAGTCGCAGGTTAACGCTAACACCAACACACTGTCAACATCCGATGTCATCGATGACAACAACAAGAACCCCATCATCCGAACGGGGCAGGACTTCCCGGTGCATGAGTGTGTGTTTAAAGGAGATGTCCGCCGTCTGTCTTCACTCATACGGACACAGAATATCGCCCAGAAAGACGTCCATGGTGAGTCAACCAGCTGCCTATCCCTCAGCCCTAAAACAGGATCCCCCAATTGTAAGGTCCAGTGAAGCGTATGTTTAGTTCGCTAATATGCCATCAGTCCTTAGCAGTACCAAATAGGCGAGGCTTTTCCATAACAAGGCCAAAATATAGGAATATTTTGATTCCTCCACTTTTTATTTCCTCCTGCCCATTGCCCACACGTCTATAGAGTAGAAACGTGTTTAAGAATGATTGTTTGCTTAAATACCTCCTCCCAACTAAATCACGGATATTCCTTAGTAACTACAGCTAGCCACAAAAGTCTCTCAGATTTAACGTATTTGGTTAAATGCTTATGTGAAAGTTGGTCCATACCATAGCCATTTTGTTTATTTAGAGATTGTTTGCAAGACTTTTTCCAGACTGATAACACCTCTTCTGCAGGACAAAGTCTGCTCAGATAACGCCACACTTTCCAGAGAAACCATCCCTGAACTAACAAAGGGACGAGATTGTTTAGTTCCGGTTCATGTCCAGAGATAAAGGATGGCCTGTAGGCAGCTTGTGCTCAGTGTCATGGTGGAATGTGCTCTGTCTTCAATTCAAAGCTTTGATGTGGAGCACCACAACAAGGTGTCAAACAGTTCGCCCAAGCGTGCTTTTGGAACTTGAGCCTTTTGTTGAGGTTGATATGATTCAGTAGCAGCAGTTTGTGTGTATACGTGCACATTAGTTTAGCCTCCACAGGATACAGGCTAAAGCATGTCCATCACACAAGGAGAGTTTTATTAAAGATTTCATTATTTACATTATTAGCCACACAAATAGCAAGTTTAATCTGTTTAATTGTCAATTCATCAACATCACAAAAACATTTACTTACTGAACCTGCACTTGTACTTGTATGCTCAGGTGTTCTGAGATGTCCAGTGTAATAGGCTGTAACTAACATTTATTACTTTTTCCAAAAGATAGTGCCAGTCATGACAGCACCATCTGAATTGTATCTAGATTAACCAGCATATGGATTCTTGGAAGGCACATTTGCTAGTACAAATTTAATTGAATTCACCGGCTCCATATACTGTTTATTACAACATTATCCGGTGGGACTGCTAGCTGATCCCTAGGTTGTATTTGTACACACATCAGGGCTCTTACCGTCAGGCCCTGATGCTTTCCCACCACTTTCTCTTGGAAGAGAGAAGCCTGGAGGAGCTGAAAGGGCAGTTTGGCTTCCTCATAAGGGATTCTCCAACGCTTATGAGGCACATTTCAGATAACAAGGAAAACATCTGGGCTTTTCCACACCTCACTCAAATGTACCCAAATGCATTTGTATTAGAAGCATTTAGTGAATTTATTTATTTTAACAAGCCATGTCCCTGACTGTTAAATGCATCATATTTCAAGGGTATGGCCGGTTAATGGACTATACTATTGCTTGTCATGGTGGGAGAACGCACAATAGGCATAAATGTACCATGTCATTTGGAATTTCTGGATTCTGCCTCCTAATTTAAACATCTAATCCAGGCTGACTAGAGGCACAGGGTTTATCACTGAAACTCGTCTCTTATTGTTATTATCAAAGCAGACAAAAAACTATCCTTTTTTTTCTTCTTCAGGGAACACACCGTTGCATCTTGCCGTCATGATGGGGCACAAAGGTGAGTAATTCTTAAAGATGCACCACCATATGGTTTATTCTTGTTTGTCTCTCTAGCGTTCTAATTTGGTCGCTCTGCAGGTCTGTGTGTCGTCTTGTTTTTGTTTCTGTGTATTTGTGTGTTTCAGTTTGCTTGCCCTGCTTTGTGTGTGCATTTGTCTGACTAATCACCACCAGACATTTCTCACAGATCAACACAAAGAATCCCAGATGGCAAGATGCTCATGGATGTATACAAATATTGTGTTTATGGATTCTTATATTGCCCGGTCAAAAACAGAATTGAACAACAAATATTACATTTCATACATTTATAGAGAAAGAACCTATAAATGGGATTAGATAATGATGACAGAGCAAGAAATCTGATCCTCTCAGTGGCTAAAGTCTCTTGTTCTGATTGATGTGTCACCACTGGCTCAAAGACTAATAGTTTGAGGCTGGCAAAGGGGGTAATTAGTTTACATAGGAGGTGTCATTTTCAACTTCCATATTATTTGCCCTCCTTAATACTTTGATGCTATCTTCTGTGCATCAGATGTTACTTAGTTACTATCATAGTTTCTAGTTGATTTTATATCAGTTGTGAAAAATATGTCACAAAAGGTGTTAACCTCAGATGTCTCAGCTCTGTGCATTTTCCCAAAAGGAAATAAAAGTGGTTTATTTATGTAACAAGTCCTAGAAGAAAAATCTGTTTTGTGTATAAAATAAATATGTCACGATGTATCGAGGCCTTGTAGAAGTATTTACCTGATTCTTTTCTTAGCTGAATTGGCTGGACTGAAAGCATGTGCTTAAAATATTAATGCATTTCAAGAAGACTTCCCAACATGCTATTGAAAAATTAATCCCCCCCTCTTCTGCAGCAGGTTCTCAGGGAACATTTCAAGCATAGGGTTACTCGTCGTTCACGTTCTCATTTGTTTCGTGTCTGTCATTGTAGCAAGGGTTTCAAATGATTTCGCATTCGGAAATGTCAATCCTGTGGACAGAGTGAAGTCCCTGTCTCTGCCTATCGGTAATCCAGACAGTGGATTGCCAAAGTGTAGTGGCGGATGGGAGGCCATGGATTTGATTTAGCTAATGAGGTTGCCTATCTCTTGCCTGAGCTGCTAGCCTGTCCTCTAGGGATGCTCTGGGCAGACAGGCTGAAGGCTACAGCATGAGATCATAGTCTGGGTGTGGCTGGTCTGTTGGGATGGACAGGACACGGCTCTCTTTGTGTATGGTGTGTGTTTATTATTCACCAGGCTGCAAATGACAGAAGTGCATAGACTCTTACATTTGACCTTTTCCTATTGCACAGCTTGTTAGTTAAATAAAAAACTGAGCATAATACATTTAGTTGGCATGATTCTATCATTGGTAACTGAAACAACAATGAGAAAGAACCAAACAGCAGTGTGCACATGTACTTTATCGTATAATATACTACAGTATCTTCATCAACTCTCTCTCATAATTGATAACTAAACATTTAGAACAATAAGGTACAATTATGTAGCCACACTAAAAAACTGAAGAAAGAAACTTAGAGTACTCGAAAAATATTTATTTAATATGACTCAACTGTCAAAATAATATGATTAACACAGCTTCCTCCTGTTTCCTGTTTGGTGCCATCAAAGGACAGAATCTGTTTTCCTTTTGTCCCGAGGTTGTACTATATGTTTGCAGGGCCACACAGATAACATCTCTAGATATTTTAAATGTGTTTCAAAGACACAAGATAACAACCTAGTGAGTGTTTGGAGCCAAATTGCCAGTCTGGCAGGGTTAGTCTTCCTGAGTTGGCACTTAGTAAAATGTTATTGGGTCATCACTTAAAAAAAGAGCAGCCCGTTGAATCAAGAGAGGATATTAGAGGCTCATTATACATTTACACTCGTTTTACCTCTGGGAAAGCCAACAACATAGGTGATGTTATACAGTGTCACTTTTTCTTTAGAGCCTGCAGCAATGTGATTCTTCAACTGCTGTTTGATGCGCTCTATAAGTGCCTGATCGATGCCGAGGTGGGCAGAAAAGCCATTTTTATAAATGTACTCAGCCTGGACAAGAATGGGTGGTGATGGTGGGGGCTGTAACAGCCCACAGAGCCTCTTGACAAGTGCCCAATCTGTAGCCACCGCACGTAGTGAAGCATTAGATTAGCACTTTATTTCTCCATCCTGCTCTGCCTCCCTCATTTCTCTGTTAGAGTTCTTTGTGAATCGAGCCGGACTTCCACCCAGCTGCTGCACATTCAATCAACCCAGTAACCCACAGGGAGGCTTCCCTTATCAATACCTCATGACTGGGTATTGAGTCGGACAGAAACCCATTGCTTTGAGTTATAGGCTGCATGTTAATGTATCAAGGAGGCTCTTTCGATTCCATTCAAATGAATGAACTGCTGTTTGATTAGTATTTCCCAGCTTCCTACCATAACAAATAAAACCAACTCAAAAGAACCACATTTACGTAATATTATGTCATAACTGTATTGTATGATGCTGAGAGCAGAATATAGGTTTTTTCAACAGATGACTTCAAACATGTTTTTGCAATCAAATCTTTATTTGTTTTCCTGCTCATTTCAGAATGTGACAGATTACTAAAGAGGCCTGCTTGTGTTGTTGGATCAATTGATCAAGAATGATTGTGATTGGTTGCATGAAGGACCCGAAACCACTCCAAATGATTTGTTATCAGACTGACTTCTCTTGTAAATCAGTCAAATTAGAACTGTGCAAGTTTTCCTTTTGCATCAAGTGCTGCTATAATGCTACTATAGCGTATGCACACAATGCTGAAATCATATATCGTACAGCCCTAACTCCAGTCATTGAAATATATTTTGGCTATATTAGTTAATCCTCAAAGCCAAAGAGTCCACTGCTTGTACCTGAAAGCATGACGCGAGAACAGAAGCTAGCAGGTTAGCAGCTTAGGACACATTACACTTACATAATGTATATCTGCTAGTCGTTATTATTACACAATCATTGGTTGTAGTAGGGTGATATATAGGTGAAAGGCCAGAGGGAATGCTGGCCTACGTCAGAATGCAAACGCTCGTGCACTCTGCTGCCTGTATTTTCCAGACATCAACTTCTGTTATCAGCTGTTCCTAAACCGAGCACGGACCAGACTAATGCATAAACACATAGGTCTGCTTTTCTGTTTGCTGATGTAAAGCTCTTTGCGAGGCACTTTGCAGTTACATCAACCCTTTCCAGTGCTAACTCGGCTTCTTTTTTACTAAAGCATGCCATATAGTTGATATTAGTCAATCTTTCTAAAGTGCTGAGACCTGGAAAGAGTTCAACGTGCAGATTTTGTGAAGCAGAATTAGACAGAAGTTGATAAGACAACAGATTCCGACTCGTCATAAGCCAAGTCTTTGAGCCTGAGCTGCTCTCCTGGTACGAACACAATAACTTCCCATTGGTCTGTCTTTATTCATTAAGATTTTCTTTGCCATGCTCGCACATGGAAGCAAGCTGCACATTAGAGCAATGGTGTTGCTGATAATTGCTTCATTAAAGAATATAGACTAAGTGATTTGGGTCCTGTCACAACACACCTTTTTATTTTCGTGTAAATGCACTTGTGGGATTGCCACACTCCTCTTTTCTTACATTGTGTGGAGAATGTGTTTAATTAGGAGTGTTTCAAAATGTATTCTTCCCTGTCATAAAGAATGCATGAGACCCTGACCTCTTTTCATTAATTAAACATTGTGAGTATGCAGCTCAGTGTGATCTGGTATTCCAGAATGTTATGTGTTGCGCTCTCTTTTCAAAAGGTAGACGGTTTTTAGTTGTAGTCTTGGCCACCCAATTGGCACTGTACGCCACTACGTCGGCTTTCGTGCTAATGTGAAGCAGAGATACAAGTCTGAACATGAAGGAAGTTACCAGTTTGAATTTGTTTGCATGACTAATATGGGGGATTCAAATGAAAGAAGGGCTGTATTGAGAGTTTCTGCATCAAGTTCCTGCCCTATCGAGAGCGAGTCCATATCCACTCAGCAGCAGACTGTTAGTATTCAGCCTCTGGTTTGCATTTCACTGGTTTGCTGCTCACAGGCCTGTGACTGTGACAGCTCCTGCCCAGCGCTGAGACAGAGCCACACAGACGCCAACACTATAATGAATGATGTCACGGCAAAAATGACGGCAGAGCCGGAACAACAGGCTTTCGTTTTTGGCTTGCTGCAGTTTGTTGACAGGCTGCCTGCAGAGAGAGATCTCGCTATGGAGAGAAGGATGAGGCTCTTTGGCTGTTTTCCCATTGTTGGAATTCAGGCACAGCTCTGAGGGTGACTCTGCACAGTGCCAGGGGAAGTTTGACATTTGATTCCTGAGAATAATTCCTCATTTTACAGCAGTATGGATTCTAAAGAGGGATGTTCAGTCTTGCATAACTGTAGTTCCCATATGGCTCTGGTTAATGGGTCAGCTGACATCTCAATCCTACACACAATCTGCCCTTCTATTAAAGCAGGATGATTTATGCTACAGAAAATGTACAAATCACAAAGATGTGAACATGCAATCAGACAACATTTTCAACTGATATATACTGCAAAGTGATACAAGTGTGATCAAATGGAAGCATGTGATCAGGAACAGGAAACACACAAAGAAAGATTTAAGCCATAAAAGTAGAGTTGATTTCGTTTTCTCGGCTGGTTTGTCTTAAGATTCGAGCTGGACTCAATATTAGAGCACAGTGTTGAGACGGAGTTAAAAGGTGTTGCTTGGGCTCTGATTATGAATTAAATGTGTCACCATAGCAACATTATAGGTGACGAAGAGATGCAACTAATAGGAAATGAGGAGTGTTTGGGCAGTTTCAAATTAGACTTATTCTCACAGTACCATTTTTGTTTTGAAATATAATTGCCCTGTGCAACAATCACGACCACCAATATTTAAATACCGAGTGCCAAAGTCCAAACGTAATTCATTAAAATGACCTTTAACCTACCCTGTTTTTCACTGATAATGCTACATAAACAACAAAAATCCATGCCGGAGCACGGTTTAATTGAGTTCCATTATGATTCAGTAAAAATCGGTATAGGCAAGGGTGAAGGTAAATTACAATATTATCGTGATGTGTTCCAATGTAATCTTATTTACGGGTGACTGTGGCTGTGAGAGAGTGCGGTCGTCGTCTTTCAACCAGAAGGTTGTGGGTTCGATCCCGGCAGTTAACATGTCGATGTTTTATTGGGCAAGATACTTAACATTGAGTTGCTCCCGATGGCATGGCCAACAGTGTGAATGTGTGTGAATGTTTTCTTCCATAGAGCAAGTGGCACTGCCCTGCATGAATGAGGTGTGAACGGATGAATGACTCGTAGTGTGCCAAGCGTTTTGAGGGTTTTAAGACACCTGATAAAGCGCTATATGAGTACAGGCCATTTACCATTTATACAATTCTTTTAATTTAGTTTTTCTAAGCAAATTTTTGTTTTATAAATCGTTTTTTACTGTGATAACAAATTGGGTACCTACAATCATGTAATTCCACTGTTATATTCTGATATTGGGACATCCCTACACTACACCTTTTCTTTCTACTGTCTCTTAACGTTTTGTATTCCTGCGTTGTGGGTGAGTAGCACTAAGACCGAAAAAAGCCATTATAGCGTTCTTTCTTAAGTTTTGCGTAATATCAAACCTTTTTTTTCTGTCCTATTTGAATCTCTGTGTTTTTCTGTCTCTAGTTAAAAGGAAACCAATTTCCTGGTATCTGTGAGACACCGTTTATAATTAGGTTCAGAGTCTTGTTTTGCTTTCATTGGGGCTGGATTTTTCACTGGGGAGGAATCTCTTTATACTTTTATCACCTCTCTTTTTATTGCCTTTGCCATTGCTTCCTTTCAAGCAGAAAGCAGCATTCAAAAATCAAACGGCTAGTCAAATAAGGTTCACCACTAAGGCTACGTCTCTTGGCTGAACCCCCTTTTAAAGCTTACTCGCTGTGGGTATAAATGAATTCTGTTAACCTTGTTCTCGCTCTTGCATTTATAGTGAGAATTGTAAACATTAAAAACTAAACTTTTTTACTTTAAACTGCTTCATTTTCATTTTGAATACACAAGTCAAAGCTCTGTTTATACAAAAGAAAAATACCTTCGAGAGGTCTCAGTTCACCTGCTGGGTAACCTCCTTCTAGGATGGTTTAAATGCAGAGGACAAACTCCACTTTGTTTGCTGTGTTGTGTACATGCAAATATGTGTGACAAATTAACATAGTTTTATTTCAAATCCTTTAATTCCACGTAGAGATATCTCTCTTTCCTCCCTTGTGTTTTTTTTCTGCTGGTCTTTTTCATATTGTATGTTTGTGTCTGTCCTGTGAGACCTTTAGTAAAAGCAATCAATAAAATAAGTTGTGATTTGACTAAATACTTACCTATCTGAACCTCTGTCCTTTTTACAGAGTGTGCCCACCTGCTGCTGGCCCACAATGCACCAGTGAAGGTGAAGAACGCTCAGGGGTGGAGTCCCCTTGCCGAGGCCATCAGCTACGGAGATCGGCAAATGAGTAAGTATCTGTGACTGTGAAACCCCCGCCCCCCACTGCTGCTACCAACGGAGATGGACTTATTTACTGAAAACTCTGTGGCTTCAGTTGGGTTTCAGTTTGAGTTTGCAGGTTGTGAAAACAGTGATGGGTGGGGGGAAAAGATCCGATCAACATTTGCCTCTCATCTTCCACACCGCTGCTTCCAAGCGAGGGGTGGGGGGGGACATTCCTCAAGGCCCCGTGGCTTTGTGCTCCAATGAAAAGGCGATTCATGAGATGTTTCTCTCTCCTCATAGGCTGATCATGCTCAAGCCCCTTTCACGCCCATTTTCCAAAATTGTATTCATAATTTTTCAAGAATCATTTTTATTTAAAATTATTATATCTACTTTTATTTGAGACCATGCTTGTACAAAAACGTGACTGACATGTAAGTGAAACCACATATGTTAGGTTTATAGGTACAGGGTGTTAAATGGGAACACCTTTGTACACTGGCAGTTTATTTTTAAAACATTGAATGAAGAACTTCTGCTTAGGAAGTCTTTGATCTGCTTTTTTCAATGCTCTGATCCACAGGGTGAACTTCCAAAAAAAAAAAAAAGCTTTACAAAAAAAGCTATTCTATCCCAAAATATGCTTTGCAAACCACTGATCACAACATTATCCCCATTTTTGTACCAGACCTTTCCGACTGTATATGTTTTTTATATCTCTATGCCTACTTATATCTGATAAGTGCATTCTTTCCATTGTCTATTTAAAGCTCTTCTTATTTTGGTCATTGGAACAGGAAGGCCTGAGGTTTCTTTCTGTGTGACGGAGCTCTATAGCAGTGGTGAGAAAGAAAGAATTTGACAAACTGAACTACAACAATATTGCTACCAAACTTCAGCCATCAAAGATGTTGAAGGGCCTGTGCTGTAAACAGATATTGGCATATTACAGGTACATGGTGTTAAAACATTGTGATTAAATAAAATAAATAGAATAAAGCAAAATAGAAGAATAAAACCGTTCTTCAGAAAATATAATCAGTAAAGTCAGTCAATAGATGTATTTCTATTGTCAAAGCAATATTACATTGAGACATTTTCAACACGGCTACAGTAGCAGCTAATAGGTACAATATTGTTGAATGTACTCAAAACAATTGAAGTGTCAGTCAATCAGAGTGAAATAGTTGGGGCCTATTAGTGCAGCCGCTTGGCGCCAACAATAAGCCGCTTAAATTGTCTCCATTCACTGCACTGTTTAACTCTATAATGCCACTTACCTTACCAGATTAACACCTGTCTATGGTCTGAAGCCTGCAGTGAACTCTGCTACACATTTCAGGGCTCGACAGTAACGGTTGCCAGGTTGCCATTGGCAACCATTCAGAAAAAATGTCAACCACTTCTTGGCCTTTGGTTGCCATCAGTAGCAACCACTTTTTAACATGAAGAAATAAGGACAGCAAACAGCTAAATGTGCACCCCAAAATAAATAAATGTTAATTATTTGTTGTATTAAGAGTGATATTTAATTATTGTTGTGACCACCAGTCGGAACCTGATACTTAAGTTGCACGTGCATTGGTGTGATTATGGAGCCAGAAAGCGATGCACGTTTACTCGCGTGCGCGGTGCGCCTTGTGTTTGTTTTACAAAAAATGGCGGAGCAAATTAAGTTGTTTGACTGTGGGGTAAAAAGTTCGGCCAACCCGTCAACTTCTCAAACGAATGTTCAAAGTGATTCAACTGATAAAGCGCAAGGTGAACCCGAACGAAAAGCAAAGAGGAAATGTGTAAAGTCTTGGGAGGCGAAATATATAATACATTCTGCTCCGTTGTGCATTCACTTCCGGTAAAAGTTCCTTCAAAATAAGAGTCCCGATCTTATTACTACCAAAATAAAAGTGCAAAACAAAACTTTACCATAGGAAAATATTGGCATACAAATATAATCAGTTCTATAAAAAGGTAACACATTTTAAATATAGTTAAACATATTAAAGGTAATTTACAGCATTAATAATTCATATCTAATTCTTAACTGTGAATGGTTTTCATTAGTCTGGCCAATCCAAGACCTCAATGCTGAAGGGCCAATGGATCTATGGTGGGGGTCAGCACAAAGGTCAAGAAAACCCAAATTTGAAAGGGAGACCACGGTTGACCAAGAAACTACTGATCTGTGAAGAACATGACAACAGCTGCACTACTGGTATTTAGTATACCAGTAATTGAGGGTGGACAAGTTTACTAGCAATTTAGTTTCAACTAATTGTGTTACTTACTTATTGTAAAGCATTTGAACATTATTTTGTGTCACATTTGTATTATTAAGTTGATGTATAACTGTATAGTATCTTAATTATTTAAAAATATAAGGTGTCTAAAAATGGCAACCGTATTTTCAGTTTTGGCAACCAAAAGCTGATGCCTGGTTGCCAGCTTTTAAAAGTTAGCGTTGAGCCCTGTGTATACATNCTGCCTAACACTGGCTCCCTATAGAACACAGGATATAATTTAAAATTCTTCTTCTCGCCTACAAAGCCCTTAATGGGCAGGCGCCATCTTACCTTAAAGAACTCATTATACCCTACTGTCCAACTAGGGGATTGCGTTCCAAGAATGCAGGGTTGTTGGTTGTGCCTAGAGTCTCTAAAAGTACAATGGGAGGCAGAGCCTTTTCTTATCAAGCTCCACATTTGTGGAATCAGCTTCCAGTTTGTATTCGGTCAGCAGACAACCTATCAGTTTTTAAGAGTGCACTTAAGACCTTCCTTTTTGATACAAATTATAGTTAGGGCTGATTAGATTCAGCCCCTAGTTTTGCTGATATAGCCTTAGTTTGTCGGGGGACACCTTACTTCTTCCTTCTCTCTGTCTGTACCTGTGTACTCTCATGTTCTATCCGGAGTCATGGATGATCCTGTTGCTGTGGTCCTGGATCCTGAGTCCTGGATCCTGAGTCCTGGACTTTGAGTTGTGGCTGAACCTTTCTCTGATGGCTCCCACAGGATTGCTGACATCCTCGTGGATTCATCTTCTTATTATAGACACATGCATTTTCAAACATTTGGTCTACCTATGTTGCAAATGTATTATCTTTTCAATTTGAAAAGATAATACATTTGCAACATAGGTAGACCAAATGTTTGAAAATGCATGTGTCTATAATAAGAAGATGAATCCACGAGGATGTCAGCAATCCTGNAATTAATTGGTAAATTCCTCGGTAAAATAAGTATTTGGTCGCCTACAAACTAACAAGATTTCTGGCTCTCACAGACCTGTAACTTCTTCTTTAAGAGCCTCCTCTGTCCTCCACTTGTTAACTGTATTAATGGCACCTGTTTGAACTTGTTATCAGTATAAAAGACACCTGTCCACAACCTCANTTTGTTACTTTGGTCCCAGCTCTCTGCAGGTCATTGACTAGGTCCCCCCGTGTGGTTCTGGGATTTTTGCTCACCGTTCTTGTGATCATTTTGACCCCACGGGGTGAGATCTTGCGTGGAGTCCCAGATCGAGGGAGATTATCAGTGGTCTTGTATGTCTTCCATTTTCTAATAATTGCTCCCACAGTTGATTTCTTCACACCAAGCTGCTTACCTATTGCAGATTCAGTCTTCCCAGCCTGGTGCAGGTCTACAATTTTGTTTCTGGTGTTCTTTGACAGCTCTTTGGTCTTGGCCATAGTGGAGTTTGGATTGTGACTGTTTGAGGTTGTGGACAGGTGTCTTTTATACTGATAACGAGTTCAAACAGGTGCCATTAATACAGTTAACAAGTGGAGGACAGAGGAGGCTCTTAAAGAAGAAGTTACAGGTCTGTGAGAGCCAGAAATCTTGTTAGTTTGTAGGTGACCAAATACTTATTTTACCGAGGAATTTACCAATTAATTCATTAAAAATCAGACAGTGATTTTCTGGATTTGTTTTTCTCATTTTGTCTCTCATAGTTGAGGTGTACCTAGGATGAAAATTACAGGCCTCTCTCATCTTTTTAAGTGGGAGAACTTGCACAATTGGTGGCTGACTAAATACTTTTTTGCCCCACTGTATATGAGAAGAACGGAAAGGAAACAACCAGTATAATCCAATGTAGCTAAAAAATGGCTGAATTAAATGTTTTAACGCCAAATCTAAAAACAATACCAACTTTACCATTCACTCTTACCAACATTCTACCTTCAAGATTAAATTCAACTGATATGGCCACTGAACAAGCTGATCTTTAATGAAGATATATTGTTAGCAGAGGTCTGCGTTGTGTTTATGACAACCAGCCTTTAATGTCTGCATCCTTGTTACAGTAGGTATTGATCAGGGCCAGACTGGCACCGTGTCTTTGAATTATAAAAGGTCATGCTTGCAAGAGAAATATCTGCAAAGAAAATTAAATTGTACTTACGTACGCACCATTTGGTGGAGAACTTTATCCATGAACAGCTTGTTTTTTTTTTATTTCAAAATATAAGTGTATTTAATTAACTTAACTCAGATATGATCAAGTGAATCCTATGTTAAGTGGGTTGTTCAATCAGACGCAGCACACCATAAACACACACAAAAAATCTGAACCTAAAGGCACCAAATGCACACGCAGACTGTAGCTTGCAAATGTATACTTCAAAGGAATAAGTATTTGCTGAGTAACTTCTTTTGCTTTTGTATACTTAATAATATATTTGGGTTCAGGACTACTCAAACAGACCAAACAGTTTATCAATGATGAAAAAATGGTTAGTTGCGGTTCTAATAGATATGTTAATGATATGCTTTATGTTTCTGTCCTTTAACACTGAAGGTACACTAGAGCTATATGACTTGGAGGCCTTCACATGTTTCATGTCAAGCAAAGGTCAAAATATGTGCATGTTCTTTACTTGGGGCTAAAATCTGTACCAGCACATGAATGGAAGTTGATCAAGCAGAAAATTGCATGTTTTGTCTCATTATTACCCTCCATCTGCTGAGATGTATTGTATCTGTCATCTGTTCATTTTTTCAAGAGGACATCAACACACCATGTGTTTGCGGTGCCTCCTCAGAGAGAAAAATGTCCGACAGAAGTCCATCAGATCAGACTGAAGAATGAAGTGCCTCCTGAGAAAGGAAATGCGTTGTCAGTACTAACACGTGGGAGATGGATGCAGGTTAGCTGGAGGGAATATTTCCCCTGCTCCTGACCCTGTCGAGGAGAGGAATCATATCTATTATTTACACTGTAAGGTGTTTTGTTGACGTACAGAGAAGATTCTGCTCTCCCTCTGACTCAATCTGATGTTTCATTTGTTTCCAAGAAGTCCTTGTCTTTGCTGCTGGAAACTCATCAGTGAAATAAAAAAATCCCTCCTTGATTGAATTCAGAGTTGAAGCACAACACCCCCCTCCGTCACTACAGATGAGTCCGACCCTCAGTCATTCACACTGTGACTCACAGCCAACAGAGCAGCACGTTACCAGATACTGAGACCACTAAGAAAACATAAGATTTCTGTTCTGTTGAAGCAGATAACTAAAAGTGTCTGAAGCACGTCATGAAACGTGTCAGTATATTTTGAAATGTATACGTCTAAAATATAATACAGAGTAATAATCAATATACTGTACTTAAACTGGTATAATTTAGTTAGATTGATTAGC